CAGATCAAGACTACAATTCCCACTACACACAGGGGCTCCGGAAACCTTGTCAGACACCACCTGTTGCCATAGCATCCGGGTCCGGGCCAACCAATCCGAGCGCCCTCGCTTAATAGAGGCGGGCAGTTTGCATCTCCGACCAACCCGAGGCGTCTTTGTTTTGGTGCGTGACCGGAGGAGGCGGGAGCTCAAGAGCGGCGCGTTCTCCTTGCATCTGGGGTCGTGGCCTTGCTCCCGCTGTGCAAGGAAGTAATCCCGGCGCCTCCACGCGCGTGTTCGCGCGTGGGCTCTGAGGCGCTCGTAGGTCCGCACTAGGTCTCTGCGGGGGCAGGAGCGGGAGCCATGGGCGGGACTGCCAGCACCCGTCGGGTCACCTTTGAGGCGGACGAGAATGAGAACATCACCGTGGTGAAGGGCATCCGGGTGAGTGCCAGTGGGCGGGCGGGGGGCCAGTACTCAGACTCGGACCCCAAACCCCCGACCTTCACGGGACCCGCTGAGCCTGGTTTCTCCTGTCCGGACCTCAGTGTTCGGCCAGAAGCCCAGGTCTCTGGAAAGAAGCCCAGAGTTTCAAAACTTGGGACATTCATTCAAAGATAGTTCCTGGTTGTGTGCCAAGTGCTAGGCACTGTTCTGGGGCGGGTGAGAGATGCCAGATTGAATTAGACCTTCCCGGGGATCCGAGTCTACGCCTAACTGTACTATTCACCACTTGCACAACTTTATTAGAACCCCTGTGTCACTGTACCTATCTGTGAAATGAGTCTTGTCTTACTCCTGGGTTCAGGACCCAGACCCTACTTTTTCACTGCCCACATCATCTCTGTTAGGATGAATTGGTATTTTAAGGAATGCTTTTATTTGCTCTCTGTCATTTAGTGCTCTTCCTCTGATATACCACCCTTCCCCATCCCTAGCCCTACAATGTTTTCTGGCCTACCTGGGATGGCTTCTGGCTTCTCTCTCCTTCACTTTCACTTGATATCTCCTCTTCCCCAGGCTCCTCCTCTGTGGCCTACTGCGCCCAAGTTTTGCACTAGACCCAGTTGCTTCAGGACTAGTGTCTGCCAATCTGATAGAGGTTGAGATAGGTTTGCAGTTTTTCGGACCAGTAGAAATAATATAGTCAGTTCTGACCAACGCTCTAGAGAACTTTTACACCTTTTGCATGTACTGATACATAAAGTGAGAACTTGGTTTTTCTCTAGGGTGTCAGTATACCAGCACTAACTTCATTAACAGTCTCCGCTGCACCTGAATTTGGAGCCTCACATTTTTGGAAGTATGATGCCTGAAACTAGTTAATAAAACAATTTTGACTTCAGAAAGTTTTATAATACTTTATATTTTTCTTCCTCTGTAATTATACAGCCAGCATAAAGAAGTTAAATTTGTAAATTACTTTTAGCATTTGTTTTTAGGAAATGAAACTTTTTAACTATTTAACGTGTTTAAAAACGTTTTCCTCTGAAATTGTTACCTTGAGAAGAATTTATTAAAGTTTTCTTTATAGAAACTCACACTGTTGAATTCAGTTTTTGGTCTGTGACCAGCATTTCTTTATAGCATATTAATTAACAGTCGTATTACATTTTGTAATAAAATATCTGAGGCTGCATTCTTTGCGTTATTGTGGTTTAATTGATACTCTTTGGACTAAAATAAAAATTACTGTAAACTTTGAGTTTTATGCAGAGATTTAAAAAATTTCTTGTAAGTCATTGCAATTTCCTCCAAAAGTGGCATGCTGTTGAATCGTTGACTACACAGAAGTCACTCTCATTTCTTTGAGGTCATGGTCAAACGAATCAACTTGGAATTAAACAGACCTCAGTTTAAATCCCAGGTTGGACATTAATTAGCCTGTGGTCTTCCTTGATTGCCTGTGATTTTTGTCTAGGTCTTTGGTAGATGTTTTTCAGTTGATTTTAATATTTTTCTTGGCTTTAATTAAACAGACTTTGGTTTAAATCTCAGGTTAGGTGTTTATTAGCTTGTGGCCTTAGACAAGTCACTTCTCTGATGATATGTCCTTATTCATAAAGGCTAGTAATACTGTCACTTCCCTTGATTGGTTGTGGCAAGAAGATGAGGTAAGGTGTTTAAAGCACCTGGCACATTGGAGATTTTCAATAAAAGGCAGCCATTATTATGATAGGGTTCCTTACATATTTAAAATTCTAGGATTCTTTGAAAGCGTTGTGCAGTGTAGTGGAAAG